CCTTGCTTTTTAATCCAGTCCTACAGTCCCTGCTTTTTATTCCGGGGTGTTTAGACCATTTATCACAGTCTACATGGAAGTACTATTAGACCACTTCACATGTCGTTTAAGGAACTTACACTAGTGTACTTAACAATTTCTGCCTCCTGGGTGTTGTCATGCCTGACTTTCACATACGTTGTAAGTCCCTCCATACACCATTACTATTTTTGTTTTAGACAATTGTCTTTTAGAACTATAAAATGTAAGCTACAAAATGTCTTTTGTATTATCTTCCTTTTTGCCATTTCTGGAGCTTTTTATTTCTTTAGGTAAATACAAATTTCTGTCCGGTATCACCTTCATTCCTTCTGGATGAGGAACTTCCTCCAATATTTGTTGTAGCACAGGTAAGTCAACAGTGAATCCGCTCAGCTTCTGTGAGGCAGGCTTTAGCTCACTTTTATATTTGAAAGCTATTTTTATTTTTTTTTCAATATATGAAGTTTATTGTCAAATTGGTTTCCATACAACACCCAGTGCTCATCCCAAAAGGTGCCCTCCTCAATACCCATCACCGACCCTCTCCTCCCTCCCATCCCCCATCAACCCTCAGTTTGTTTTCCGTTTTTAAGAGTCTCTTATCTTTGGCTCTCTTCCACTCTAACCTCTTTTTTTTTTCCTTCCCCTCCCCCATGGGTTTCTGTTAAGTTTCTCAGGATCCACATAAGAGTGAAACCATATGTTATCTGTCTTTCTCTGTATGGCTAATTTCACTTAGCATAACACTCTACAGTTCCATCCATGATGCTACAAAGGGCCATATTTCATTCTTGAAAGCTATTTTTATGGCTTAGAGAATTCTGGGCTGACACTTTTGTTCTTTCAGTAATATAAAGATGTCAGTCAATTGTCTTCTGGATTGCAAGCTCTGACAAGGAATCATCTGTAATTACAAACTTATTCCTCTAATATAATGTGCCTTTTATACCACAGTTATTTTTAAGTCTTCCTCTTTATCTTTGTTTTTTTGCAGTTTGAGTATGAAGTGCCTAGATTTTTATTTGTTTGTTTCTGTATTTATCCTGCTCAAGCTTCTCTGGGACTCTTGGATCTGTGTCTTGGTGTCTTCCCTTGTTTTTACAAACGTCTGAACCATTAGCTCTTCAAATGTTTCTTCTGTTCATTCTATTTTTTTCTCCTTCTGGTACTTCAGATACATGTGTGTTTACCTGTTTGATTTGCTTTGCAGCTCCCGGATACTCTCTTCTCTTTTTCTTTTTTTCACTCATTTTTAACTTTTGTTTTCAGTGGAAGAATTTCTATTCTCTCTTCTTCAAATTCACTGACTCATGTTGAGTCAACTGTGTTGACTGATGTACCTGCTAGGGAATACTTCATCTCTGATAGTGCTTTTGACTTCTACCACGTATGTTTGATTCTTATGGTTTTCATCTGTCTGTTGAAATTTCCCCATCTTTTATTTCATGTTGTCCAGTTTTTCTTCAGTCCTTGTTGTTATTTTAAAATCCCTGTTCAGTTTCTGGACTTTTTGTGAGTCTAC